AGCCATTTTCAGTGCTACAAATTTTTGTCTGCCTTGGGCCAGAGGATACTTTTAATGTATTATTATTTCAGATAATTAAAACATTTTAATTTTCCTGTTTCAAGTGCCATTCTCTACCCTTTAAAATTACAAATGAAAAAATTAGCTAATTACCACACCAAACCAAAAAAAAAAAAAAAACCAAACCCGTTGCCGTTGAGTTGATTCCAACTCATAGCGACTCTATAGGACAGAGTAGAACTGCCCCATAGGGTTTCCAAGGAATAGCTGGTGGATTCACACTGCCGACTTTTCGGTTAGCAGCCGAGTTCTTAACCACTGTGCCACAAGGGCACCATTAGGATAAAATTTTGACACAGCGCCCTCCATCCGGCCTAGTCTCCTCTCTCCTAACCTAAAACGTGCACAAACCCAAATTGCAGCATTTTGAGTCAGGAACAGCCCACACTCAGTACTCCACTCCTATGTCTTGGATCACCTCTAAGTAATATTTTGCCTTCCCTGTCACCTAATAAACGTCCTTGAGAAAAAAAAAAAAAATCCACTCTCAGAGGAAACAGTTGTTTCCTCAGATTCTGTCAGCTCCCTCCCTGCGTCTCTGTCTGTCCCTGTGACTGCTCCCTGAGTTCTGGTTGCCGTGTTCCTTCATCTACAGCAGTACCTCTCCAATGTAAATAATACACAGAGACTTCACAGGAAAAAAGAAAAACAATTCTATGAACCTCGATGTCAAATCAAGTGGTTTTTTTGTGTGTGTTTCTTAAAGACATGTCAACATAAAAACTGGGTATAAACTTCTTATATTTGTAATTCTTATACAAATTCAAAACCAAAACACATGTTTACATTAAATATTTCCAGAACCAGCTGATGCAAAGTGATAGTACCATTCTGCTGAAACTAACCGGGCAATTTGGGATGAATAGTACAAAGGTGTAAATTCAGATCTGTTTCCATACAACATCTCTGTATTTTTACTTCTATGCCTCTTGAACAAAGACTATCCATTTGGATAAGAATGTTTCACAAAATTATATCAATAACACAAGACTGTGTTTGCTGTTTCAGAAAAATAAGACTTCAGACTTAACCAAAACTCTGTCCAGCACTTCAGCAATTCCCAAATGCCAGTTTTAATGAGGTGGCATTTGATAACACAGTAAAGCTTGTTTGTTCACTTGAAGATTAGGTTAGCATGGAGGAGTTACTGAAATGTGCATTGTGTGGATATATAAGAAATCAGGTGCACAAAAATTCTTCATCATATTTGCTTTTATATTAACTGCTCATCAGTGATGCAAGTTGGTAATATAAAGATATGATTATTGTGTTGATCCTACAGTGCGTCTTTTAAGCCAGCTGTGCCTATACCGCCAGGAACTGTCTGATCCTTCAGTTCTGTTATCACTTTCCGCTTTAAACTAGTCTAACCCACAGCACTTTGTTTATACACTGTTCCCTATTAAAGAAACACTATAAGCAATTTTTTAATCACCGGGGTGAAGTTATTTTTTCCTCTTGCAACAAAACATAATATAAGGGAGTTCTGCTTTCACATCAGTTGGCTCTCAGAAGTGAAAGAAGGCTGTATTTATAATTCACATTATTAAATGACAGTCAGATTTTCTCATTGAGTAATACTTCTGTCAATTTTTAAAAAACCCAGGAGTTTCTGTCTTTGATAACAAAAATATTTTCTCATGATAAAAAGCTTTTAGGATGGCCCTTTAATTCATAGCTTATTGCTCAGAAGGCAAGGCTTTTAAGCCTGTACATCTTTTCTTGGCCGTGAAATGGTGATATGCTCTTGGGTCAGACAGGGCTAGGCTAAGCTAAGAGCAAAATGTCACTTCTAGTTTTTCAACCATGATGAAAATTTGTCCTTCATAAAGTACAACCTCAATCATAAACAAAAATACAAACACAGGGATGCAATTACATGGCAGCACTCAGCTGTAAGACAGTCAGCTAGTTGACTTCATTATGGAAATCTGAAGTTCACGAATTTCTCAAATGAATTTGTGGACCCCAAGTAATTGCCAGATAATACATATCAGGGATCTTAGGGGTCCGCTGACTCCAGTTTGTACACTAACCTTGACTGCTTTTGTTACAATCTCCTAAACGGTCTCCCTGCTTGGTGTAAATGGTTAAGTGCTGGACTAATGAAAGGTTGGCAGTTCAAACCCATCCAGAGGTGCCTCGGACGCAAGGCCTGCTAATCTGCGTTTGAAAGGTCACAGTCTGGAAAACCCTCTGGAGCACAGTTCTACTTTGCACAGCTGGGGTCACTATGGGTCAGAACTGACTCAACAGCAACTAACAACAAAACGTCTCACTGACTCCATTCTTGCCACAGTCCTTTAACAGTGATTTTTCTCAAACCCAATGTAAGCCTCTCCTTCTTTTCTAAGAATGTCTACTGGCTCCCTTTTGCCTACAGAATAAGTAAGAGACTCTTAGTTTAGCGAAGAACATCTTTTACCTCCTGACCCTAACCTATGATTCCAGCCTCAATTCCCATGTCTCAACACAACACCATCTCTACAACTATACCTCTCATTGCTCTGAACACACCGAGTCCTTGGTACATGCTGTACCCTGTGCTTTGAAAGCCTGTCATGATTCCCACCTCTTTGCTCAGAAAATACCTACTAATCTTGAAGATCAATTTCAAATGGTACCACCCATATAGATCTCTCTAGCAGAGGCAGTCCTTCCATGGACCCCAAAGAACTTGGTTCATATCTTTATGACTGTGCTAGAGCTGAAAAAGTTGTTTCTTCTCATGTCTTTATCACCCACTTAACTGTGAGGTCCTGGAATGAAGAGAGAATATCTCCATATACCCAATGCAAGGAGCTCTGGTGGCAACAACAGTTAAGCGCTTGGCTGCTAACCAAAGGCTGGTGGTTTGAACCCATCCAACAGCTCCATGGGAGAAAGACCTGGCATCTGCTCCCATAAGGATTACAGCCTCGAAAACCCTATGGAGCAGTTTTACTCTGTCACGGGGTCACTATGAGTCGAAAATAGACTTGACAGTACCTAACAACAATAACGACATACCCAAGGCAAGCTCAAAGTCTTCCACACAATAAGCACTCAGCAATTGTTTAATGAATGGATCGGTAAGAAACAGATGATGGCCATCTCACCTTTGCCAAAAGGTGTGACCACTGAAATCCACCCTATTATACTCTGGTGTGGTAACGGACCTAACTGTCGTCCTTCTGTCTCTCCAGCTTCAGCCAACATCACACATGTAGAGTGGATGAAGTCCTTTGTCTCAGGAGAAGGGTAAATTGAACTTTATGGTGTAAGTTTTCACAATTACAGGCCCTTTATAGTGCAAGGCCCTAAAGTCAGATTCCCAGGTGCCTTCATGGGTAAACGGAATTCAAGACCTCTCCATAGGGAGAAACCAGAAAACACTGGTGACATGCCTCACACATCCCAGACTGTATTTTTCCTTGTCCCTAGATTCAAGGAGGGAGGCATGAAGGGACCCTCAATGAAGCTCATGATGTGCCCTCCCTTATAAACACAATAGAACACAAACTCTTCTCCAATAGTAGGATCTTGTCTTAGCTTCCTCTAGCCACTCTTGGATCCAGATGCAAAAGGCCCATGGCAAATAGGATGACCAATCATAAACAGTGTAATGACACTTTGCCTGGGACTGAGGGGTCTCCTGGGACATGGAGCTTCAGCATTCAACTGGGGCAGTCCCAGGCAAACCGGGACAGTTGGTCAGCCTAAACTGGCAAACACCATGAGCTCCCATGCCATCTCCCGTGGTGAACAGATAAGATACATTTAACCCAATCCAGTGAGTAACTGCAGGCTCAACTACTGGTAGGCACATGTACAAAATATTGTCTATTAATTCCCCCTTCTTCTTCTGGGCGACAGCATTTCTTTAGTTACAGCAATAGTTTTCAAACCTTACTGTGTATCACAATGATCTGCGGGGTCTTGTTAAAACACAGACTGCTGGACCTCACCTCCTGAATTTCTGGATCGGTAGGTCTGGGACGGACTCCGCCTGCCAAACTGCATTTTTAACAAGTTACCAAGTGATGCTGACGCTGCTGGTCCAGGACTCCACTTTGAGAACCACTGCGTTAGTGGTGTGGCATATTATTGTCTTCTAAGACTTACGTCATGGAACAAGGGGTCAGCGGAAAGCACGAGGCTATGAATCAATAATGTGAAGTACAGACTTCTACAAAAGGCAACCTTATTTTCTTCATTTCTTAAGCATCTCTCAGTAATGAGTACAGTTTTTTTAAAAAAGAAAGAAAACCCTCATAAACAAAGTGTAATATAAAAGGTTCAGACCTCCAGGCAAGTTTCTGCAGAGCTGAGGGGGAGAGCTCTATGGTGGGGTTCACTCTGATGACTGTGATTTCTCTGTGGACAGGTGAGCGCACGGTAGCTCACTTCCAGCTACATGTGGTTCCCCTTTTTATGTTCAAGCCCAACAGCTGAAACATCCTCTGTTCTTGGTCTGAGTCAGAGTCTCACAATTACAAGCTGCTCTGGCATACAGAAGGGGGAAAAAAGTACACTTGGATAATGCAGTCTGCACTGTTTAAACCTACACAAACCTTTTCTAGGTAACTGAATAATACCTAAGAAAAACAGAAAAGCAATTCCAGATTGCAAATACTCATTCTGTTCCATGTGGCCAGATCCTGCTCTTGAAAACATCTACCGCTTCCAACTGATGCACAAACGTTGCCTTCAGTTGTGGAAATGTGTTCCTTATTCTCAAGGAAATGTCCCTGAGTGCCCCCACTTAGATATCAGATTTGATGTAGGAGAAACGGAGATATGGGGCTTTAGCAGCAGAATTTAAATCCCATAACTGTCAACGACTTCTAGGGAAGTGGATCTGAAATAGAAAACTTGACCATTCTGATGAGTAAATAGATTTCTAAATGGCCAATCTCAGAAATTAGCGTTCGCTAATACTAATTTGTTTTTGTCCCCAGCGTCCCGGCGGTGCCCTTGCCATCCCTCTGTGCGCATTCCAGGGCACGGTGTCTCTCCACGCTCCTAGTGGGAAAACCTGGTCACTGTCCACCTACGAGGTAAGTGCAAAGGGGCAAAAAATAACCCCGGCGTCTAAGAAAATAGAAGTCTACCGATCTAAAAGCGTTGGCCACGAACCAAACCCGGAGGATTCTCCCTCCACGTTTGCGGACACCAGTGTGAAGATACATCTGGAAGTTCTCGAGATCTGTGATAATGAAGAGGCCTTGGACACTGTGTCCATCATCAGCAATATCAGCCAGTCCTCCACACAAGTCAGGTCTCCCTCCCTGCGCTACTCACGGAAGGAAAACAGATTCGTTTCGTGTGAGTTGGGGGAAACAGCCTCATACTCCCTCTTTCTACCCACGAGTAATCCTGATGGTGACATTAATATCTCCATTCCGGACACTGTTGAAGCCCACAGGCAGAACAGTAAAAGGCAGCACCAGGAGAGGGAAGGCTACCAGGAGGAAATCCAGCTGTTAAATAAAGCTTACAGGAAAAGAGAGGAAGAAAGCAAGGGGGACTAGCAATGGTTTGGTCTAATAAACGCTAGAATGGCTTTGTAAGGTCAAACTGCTAAACGAACACCTTTGTTCTGAGGCTACTTGATTTCCTTTTTTGTTTGTTGGATTACATAAGCTTTACAGATTTACTGGTTGATTCTTTTTAGTGCCAACAGCTGCAACTAGTGCAAATACTTAAGTGCATTTGATGTATTAACCTACAGATCACACACTGTGGTAATTAGAAGAGTTGGTTTCTTTCTGATTTCTAAAAATGTTTTCTAAATCAAACCTTGCCTCACTAACGTTTTAGTCTGCGTTTGTCACCCTCAGAGTAAACGGAAAATTATACAAACCCAGTGAATATCCTGGTTCCACATACATGTTTCTGCACGTCACGTTGGCCGTTACTGTCCGGGGAAGAGAACTTCAGGGGATGGGATAAATGCAGCACAACTCAGAGATGTAAACGGGGCTGCCAAAACAAACTTAGGACAGTAACTGTTTCAGCTTTACACTGATGCCTAGGAAATACGTTTTTGTGTAAAATGGCAAAAGAGTATCCAACTTAGAAACATACGTCTATCATAGTCTGTAAACAATTGTTTCCTTCATTTCTATAAATTGTTTACTAGTGTTTTTTCCTTCTCTCCTAAATATAACGATGTTTCCCTTCAGTTTTTTCAGCCCTGCCAAGACTAGCTCTTAAAAAAAATATGTTGTATGTTACAGGTAGAATTAGCAGTTTTTAACGCAAATATGATTTTAAAAGGTTGTAAATGTATACTTTGTCATTTCTAGAATTGTTTTTATTTGAATGGGAATTGGGGAAAACACAGCCAGGTCAAGTTTGGAGAGGGGCACCCAACTAGAATAAAGAGCTTCTGGTACAGCAGAAGAAAATCCTAAACCTAAAATAAAAGTGTCTACTTCTAAAGCTGCAGATTTCAGCGAAATTTCTTAGCTATCCTTCAAGGTTGGAAAATTTTAGTTCAAACTTAGGTGCTTTTTAGAGTTTCTTCTTAAGGAAAATGTATATCTGAGGAAAAGAAACAATTGAAGGTATTTTATTAAATGATTACCAAAGTATGCATTTCAAGATTATTTTTTAAATGCGTTGGATTGTATAAATGCAGGGATCACCTTGTCAGAGTATCGTAATGTATATTTCTAAAATTATGAAGTGACTTTTCTTCAAATTGTTTCCTTCCGGTCTTTCCACAAATACGTGTTAAATGTACTACTTACTGTAACTAAGTAAATGTTTCTTTTCCAGAGACATTAGGAGTTGACACTTTGATGGTCTTACCATTTGTGTACGTCCACTTTACCCCACACTGGTTTACTTACGGGTCGAGTGAATTATTTATTAGAATGATTTCCTTTGGTTTCTATTTCTTCTATATTGAACTGAAATTCTAAATTATTTGACATGGACTTTCAGAGTGTATCACCTTTAAGGGATTTTTTTTTTTGCCACCAAGAAAAATCACTTTCAAAATAATTATCTCAGTGGACTTTTCCCATGTCTCATTTAACTTCCTGATATATCATTATCTAAATTCAGGAAACAAATGTAATGTCATCATTAATGTTTGTAAAGCAAGCTTCAGCTAATGCATAGCACATAAATTTAAATTCGAGTGTATTCTCATTATGAACATATTTTAAAAGACTTTTTATCACCAAAGCTGAAGGCTATTTTAGCCCAAATGGACAGATCAATCTGATGTTTCAAATCAATAGAACAAAATGTCTGTTATAAAAGAAAAACTGAATTGAATATTACAAGAACACTTTGTAACAGATAGGTTTTGATACGTTAAACTTAGATATATAATGTTTTGAAGGCGAAAAGTAAGTTGATCCTTTAAAATGCAATTTCTGGCAGCAAGGAAATTAGAAACAGCATCATAATAAAACTAAGGAAAACATTAAAGAGACCGTTTCAATGGAAACAAACGCTTTATAACTGCACAGCACTTTGAATGGGGAGGATGGAAATCAGTTTGAAGAGCACAAGAATCGAACTGAAAGACAATAGCGCCCCCTTTCCTCTCGTATACGGTCCCTGGGTGGCACTAATGGTTTGTGCTTGACTACTAACCTAAAGGTTGGTGGTTAAACCCACCCAGTGGCGCCAAGGAAGAAAGGCCTGGTGATCTGCTTCTGTGACGTCTACAGGCAAGAAAACCCCATGAAGCAGTTCGACCCTGTAATCCATGGGGTCACCAGGAGTCATTCCTGACTTGACAGCAACGGGTTTGGTTTGGTTTCCCTCTTGCATTCCATTTTCTTTTCACTGGACATGGACCTAGTCTGGGGGAAGTGGGGAAAAAAACTAGATAATTACCGAGATATTCCAATTTAACTGCCCTTGGTTGCTCAATTAACTATACCATGTATTCACTAAAAACTTATTGCTTTATTAATGCAATACCAGGGTTATTTAGACTACAGCTATAGTGGGAGAGGCTGATGAGCATCGCATTGCTAATTTGCAACACTTCACACTGCAAGCCGACAGTAACTGACTCCACAAGAAAATCTATTAGGGTTGGGCCTAAACATGAATGGCTCCCCAAATTTTTGCTAAAAGAGGGGAAGATTAAGCAACACCAGTATACTTAGGTCTCCTACTCTTTAGAGCGACTCTGATTGTTAAAGTGTGTTTCTGGCACTGAAACATCATATAGATATCTTGTGCTATATCCAGGTATCTTGCCCTCGCATAGTTACATTGTTCTTGTTATTAACAAATACTATAATCATAACTTGTTTCTTTCCTTGTTATTTAATAAGAAGATTGCCGTCTGGTGGCGACTCATACAAACTGCAAACACAGAGGCCCTGAGACTCTCAGAGGTTTCAGAGGGCTGTGACTGACAAAGGCAATCCATTTTGAAGACAGCAAACCTCACAGTATTACATGGAATACAATAAAAAAATTTGTAAAAATCCTCTGAGACTTTTATTTGGAAGCTTTCCTCAATATGGTCCTGTTGTACTGGATTTCATAAAGAGATTTTTCTCTTAAATTCTTTTGAATATCGTTCAGCTACTTACATTCATGTCTTCATCCTACTAATATTTACTGAGATGCCTATTATATTACATGCTAGGGAGTCCCTGGGTGGTGCAAATGGTTAAGCACTCAGCTGCTTGCCAACAGACTGACCATTCAAGTCCACCCACAGATACCTTGAAGAAAGGCCTGGCAATCTACTTACGAAAATCAGCCCTTGAAAACCCTATGGAGCACGGTTCTACTGTCACACACATGGGTTGCCATGAGTTGGAATTAACTCCACAGCAACTGATTTTATACATATACATATATGGCAGGCAGTAATAAGTGCCAAGAAGAAAAGTTAAACAGAGTAAAGGAACAACGATGGAAGGAGTACTTTTTCAAATCATTTAGTCAGGAAAGGCCTCACGGATTAGGCGACATTTCATCAGAGACTTGAGGAAAGTGAGGAAACATGCTGTGTGACTGGGCAAGCTGCAGCCTCAGCCAGGAGAACAGAAAGTTTCCAGGGGTGGGAAACCATCAAGGAGCTCAGTGTGAATGCAGGTGAGTGAGAGAGAGAAAGGGGGGCTAGAGATAAAGACAGACAAGGGGAAGGAAAGATGGCTATCTGTGCCTTGCAGACCAGATAAAGGACTTTGCATATCTCTCTAAATGAGGTGAGAAGCCATCAGAGGGTTATGAGCAAAGGAGTGACATAATCTGATTTCAAAACTCACCATCTGATGTGTGGGGAACAAAGACGACCGCTGGAAGACCAGTGTGGATACTACTTTAATAGTTCAGGTTAGAGGTGATGGTGGCTAGGGTTAGAGTGGTAGCAGGAGAGATGGTGACAAGTAGTCTCATTCAAAAAACAAGGATGGACTTTCTTGGTAGCTTTAGATAAACCCAAAAAACTAAACCCATTGCTGTCATGTCGATTCCAACTCACAGCGACCGTACAGGACAGAGCAGAACTGCCCCATATGGTTTCCAAGGAGTGGCTTGTGAATTCAAACTGCTGATTTTTTGGTTAGCAGTTGAGCTCCTTAACCACTGTGCAACCAGGGCTACTTACTCATTTCTCAAATGTCTGTCTACGGAGCCTATGATGCCGAAAATCAAATACCTCTGGTACCGATTTTCCATCAATAGTCTGGAATAGTCCCATGTTTCTGAACTCCTCCATTATCACAGAGGCTAGAAGCCTGAAAACTACATTTCCCAGTCTCTACTTGCCAGCAAGATTCAGGTTTAACATCTGCCAATAAGAAGCACAAGACTGAGAAGGCAGAGGTGGAAAGAAGCATCAGCATTTAAGATGGATGTTCCGTATCAGTTTGGGCTTTTCTCCTTCAAGACAGAGTTCAGGGGTCTAAGTTTCTTCCAAGCTGTAGTTTCACATTTTCAATACATGGCTTCTGCGATCACTATGCTCATCTGCATGAAGCTGGCAGAAGGGAGAAGGGTGGAGGATCCTGCAGTGGGGTTTCTGCAGGTTCTGCTACATTGGCTAGAACTCAGTACACAGCCACACCTAACTCCAAGGGCGGCTGGGAAATGTATCTCGCTGTGTGCACAGGAAGAAGAAACTCAGTTATGGCAAAGAGCTAGCTAGTCAGTCACATGCCACATGCCCTATCACACCAACCAGATAATCATACACCAATACCACAGATAGGTAGATAGAGATAGCTCCCATCAAGTCATTCTCTGACTCATGGTGATTTTATGTACATCACAACAGAACATTTATGTAATGTTGCCTTGTCCTGCGTAATCCTCACAATCGCCAGCATGTTCAAGTCCATCACTGCCGCTAGCGTGCCAATCCATTGCACTGAGTGTCTCCCTTGCCTTCAGTGGCCCTCTGCTTCACCAAACATAATGTGATGTCATCGGGAGGGACCAATCGTTGGAGGAGGACATCGTGTTTGATGACGAATACCATAACAGAATGCAAATGGTGCGCCATGGTGTAATAAGGTGCAGAGACACTGGCACAACAGCG